AAAAAAAAAAAAAAACAGAAAAGAAAAAAAAAAAAACACAAACAATAACAACAGAAAAAGAAGAGATCGCTAGCATGGAGTCTGGTGTCCCCATACTTCTTGTTGCTTGTGGGTACAGAGAAGAAGAGTGACCTCCTGGGTCTGGCTTTCCAGTAGATGTGTGTGAAAGATCTTTCTTCTCTCTCCCTCACAGGAGACAGTGTCTCCCACTTGGCTTACAGCTCCATGCGTTACTGGGGAGTGCTGGCACCAGTGGTAGCCCTAGTCTCAGCCAATAGGTTCATTTTAAATCCCAAATTAATTTCACATACACACACACACACACACACACACACACACACACACACACACACACACGCACACGCGCACACACACCACACACTTGCGAAGTAACTGCATCTTGGCTTTGCAAACTGGACTTTGGTTGATTTTTTTTTTTTTCAAAGCAAACGATAACTCATCTTCTAGGCTTTATTACTGGGTGTCTATAAACGTGTCCTTGTAAAATTAGCTCTTTGGTCACGGTGCTTCTAAGCCCTTGCTGACCCATCACGTACTCCTACCCCTGCTGAGTTAACCCGCCCTTCCTGTGTGTTTTAAAGCACTTTGCTCTTCCGGCCACCACAGTACTGATCAATAGCATTAGTGATCCATAGGTGCGTTCCCTCTGCAGGCCTGCTGGCCCTAGGACAGGCTGTCTTACTAATTCTGTGTCCTGGGCTGCAGGCACAGTCCTGACCTCAGAACAGGTGCTCAACACATGTTGTTGGAAAAGATTCTCATACTGGAAAGCTGTGCACTGATGAGGAATGTGAGTAAGGGATCAGTGGTCATGTCTTTTCCTCCCCCTCAGGGACTTTGCCTCTGCCCTCTATTTCTACAGGGCAGAGCCTCGCTGCCTTCTCAAATAAGGGGCAGTCAAGCAGAAGGAAGTGGCTTTTACCCATCTCATTGTTAAATTATTTTGTTTGTTAGTGCTGGTTTTTCTGAGTCAGGGTTTCACTATGTAGCTCTGACTGACCTGGAACTCGATATGTAGACCAGGCTGTTTAAATTGGGTTTCATCTTTTAGAAATCAGGAAAAAGCTGGGTGCACTGGTGTAGGCCTGTGATCCCAGCACTCAGGAGGCAGAGACAGGAAGAGTTTGAGTTTAAGGTCAAGGGTAGCCATAGCTTCATAGTAAGACTCTGTCTTGGGGAAAAAAATCAGGCTGGTGAGGTGGGTCAGTGGGTAAAGGTGGGTCAGTGGGTACAGGCAGTCAGCGGGTACAGGCGGGTCAGTGGGTACAGGCGGTCAGCGGGTACAGGCGGTCAGTGGGTACAGGCAGTCAGCGGGTAAAGGCGGGTCAGTGGGTACAGGCAGTCAGCGGGTACAGGCGGGTCAGTGGGTACAGGCAGTCAGTGGGTACAGGCGGTCAGCGGGTACAGGCGGTCAGCGGGTACAGGCGGTCAGTGGGTACAGGCGGTCAGTGGGTACAGGCGGGTCAGCGGG